CCATTAAGCGATAGTTGACGGAATTTGTACATATAAACATAGAAAAAACAGCACGAATAAAACAATATAACTCCAAACTACAATAAACGTTCAAACCAAAGTAAACTTCCAATAAGAATCCAAAAGTCGACCCAACTTAGTACGGGAGTTAATGCAGTCCATTCCTGCAAACTTTGTATCTCACGTTGAAAATGGTGTGAAATATTTTTTTAGTTTATATGATTTTTATCGGCTGAGGTGGTTTTATTTGAAAATAAAGATAATATTCAGGCACACTTGTCTGACAGTATAAAAATCTAACTGTCTTGCTGGTTGATCGAGGCCCGGCAACTCAAATCACGGGCAAAGGAAAATTGAATAGAATAATCCGAGGAATGTCGTAAGTTCTGTACTGATTTTCATAAGACTCGAAGCAGCACTAGAAGAATTATTAGGATGAATCACAAGACAGCACTGCTGAAATCAAATATTTAGACCACAATATTACCATCATGCTGTGTGTGCGCAAAAAGCAACTGGACATAAATCTTAGATCACTTCAAGTTTACGTTGAGCGCTCGATGTAAATAACTGATCACCTCTAGAACATTGTTAATGTGCAATACAATTCCGTTACTATGGAGATTGACAAAAATTTTGGGATTGTGCAGTGTTATTATTACTTATTCACTTCAATTTTTATCTTCAGAAGTATTGCTCGCTCGTATACAGTTCAGAAACTTGGCATTTCTACCTTTCTCTTCTCTCCCCAATGCATCGATCGCTTCTTTTTTCGTTATGAATCAGCAGCAAAGAATTGCCTTAGTATTAAGATTTCGTAGCAAATCTTTCTGCACTGTTGACGACTCTTCCAACTGAACTTTCGGAATGAGATTACCTCTCTATTATATCATTCATTCCGTATAGTGATGCCAAGTTTCTATTCCACTTCGATGACTATTATCACCGGCATTGAAAATCGAATCCCCCATTTAAGACTGCTCCACATTTTATCGATACTTCCAATATTTCCGCAGAATCATTCCGATCTGTTTTTCTCTCCTTTTAATTTGGGTGCGAAACTTTTATTCATCGCAATTATTCGAAATAATTATTCCGAAAATTAGAATCAAATCACAGTCGCCCTGATAACTGGCATTCTTATGTACTCTGTTTTAGCAACTCAATCTCAAGATTAATCGCTTCTGATGTCATGGCTACGTCAACTAATTAAGTGTATATTCCCTACGACCAAACGCAGAAGTTGGCGAATGTGAAGAAATAATTTGAAAAAAAAAAATGAGACGATAATAGCCGAAAATATTTGTGCTACCAAAATTTCAGAAATATTTGATATTCAAAACAATTAAAATCAGGCCGAACTTTCCCTTACTGTTGACAGGAATAAGACCAAACCTATCGTAAACAATGAGAATTGTAGTAAAACTGCTATGTCAATAAAATAGATAAAATAAAAATGAAAGGTACTGGAACCATTCAAAAAATGATGACTATAGACAGTCCTCGCAAAAATCAAACTGTATAGTTCAACATATTTTTGCTTTTGCACCAAAATACTCAAAGTGACGGTGGAAATTTTAAAAAATTTCTCTATTCGTTTAGTGAAAGTAAATACAGCCTGCAGATAAATGCAGTATTGGATTAGGTCATGGATGGGTGAGATGACTTAGTTACGTAAACAGGCGGCATTGGGACAGCATAGAATCAGACTATGTATATTATTACGTAGTTGGAGTAAGTGTGAATGTTGTTTGTGGGTAAAAGAATGGGTGCATTGCAGTGCTGTTACAAACATCTAGCAAAAATCGATTCGAAGAAAGCACCTCATTTTTAAAGCTGAAAATAAAAGCAGCTATTGCTTCTCAGATAAGCTTTTATACTTCACAAAATTTAGCTGACAGATGAATAGAGTGACTGTTAAGTTTCGAACCATTACTTAGGCATTCATTCACTTATCCTCACATACCTACAATTTGCCTACTAATCTTGTCCCTTCTTCTCATTGTCATTAAATCACCAATAGGACAAACTATCGTGAATAGCTTCTCCTATTGGTAGCGTAATGACAATCGTAAGTATGGTAAGGTTTTATCATCGACTAGAATAGAATATTTAATCAAAATTAGGTTGCATTAATTGGCGTGTTGAAACTTTAAAAGGAAAAAAAAAGCCTTGAATAGAAATTGGAGTAGTGCTATGTCAATAAGATAGGTAAAGCAAAAATGAAAGGTAGTGGAACCATTCAAAAAAGTGGTGGCCATTAAAAAAATAAAGTTCTAAGTTTGTTACTAACTAATTAATATTAAAGGTATGTTTCTGACTAAGGGTTGCACAAAGTTTCATATTTCTCGTCGTGCTTCTCCAAGTTTTTTGTGCGTCATTCTGTTCTATTAATTTCTTTCTTCCACTTCCTTACGGGCTTCATTTACTGTATACCTCTTAATTCCTATGCAGTTTAGGTTTTAATCATTTTTAATGCATACCTCATTAATTTCAACTGGCATAATAATATTACCTGGAGCTTTCTGCTAGGTATTTCGAAAAATTTCTCTGGAATTCCCAAAACCTTCTACAGAAAATTTCAAGAATTGTCTGCTAGAATTTCGTAATACTTGTCCATTCAAACTTTAGAACTAGACGTATTTATTGTTTCTGAAGCTAGAATGATTTTTGTTCATTTTTGCATCATCCTCACAAGATGCTTGCATGAAGACTCAGTGCTAACTCATTTACATATGAACGAAATTATTTTTAATAGCTAAGTTGTTTCGTGTGACCAATTCATATACAGCGAGACAGTTTTGTTTTTTGCCAAAAATTGAAATTATCTTTCGTTTATCACTGGGATTACAAGCTTTCCTCTTATAATAAGCATAACTGTGCAAGAAGTCGGAGGGTTAATCGAAAAGGTGAATTACTAATTTTGAAAAAATATCGAATGTGAATTATTTCAGTTTCAGTTATAATGCTTTCGCAGATGACAATTAATTGGTTACGAATACCGTTACAACTGATGTTGTTATTACAACTACACTGTGGTTCACCAGCAGAGAAACTCACATTCGAGTAAATTTTCAGTTTCCTTTCTACAATTTTGTTTCATATCGTTATCTGGAGCTTCAACGACAATAAGAAAGAAATTCCACGTTCGATAATTTCCATGTTAGGATTATCAGTCAAAGCTGAACTTTTCAAGTTATTTGAATTTTAAAATTCCTGCAGTGTGCAAAAATGGGCCAATCTGTTGAGTGACCATCTACAGGAAATGTTCAGTGATGCTACTAGGGAAGCTGATATCATTGCGGTATGCTTTCCATCATTTTTTTTAACTACGGCATTTTCATGATGTGGAAGAACGGCCATTTTCATTGTTTCCATATATCTCAACACAAGTGTCATCTTTACAGTCTTCATACCAATCTGGAGTTGGAAAGTTTCATACCCAAAGTTCGATCCAACTTATAGTCATATTTCTTGTAAAAAGATTATTTCATGGTTTTAAATATTACGTAAAGCATGAAATAGCTAATACTAAGCGAATCAGTATATATATGTATATATATATATATATATATATATATATATATATATATATATATATATATATATATATATATATATATATATATATATTATTATATATATATATATATATATA